ATATATAATAGAGGATTTTTAATAACCCCTGTGATTGCCTAAACATATGTGTGTGTTCTTCAACTCAAAACTGGGAAATAGGGAGAAAGTATTGAGGAGAGAGCTCATTCAACTCCTTATCCAACTCCTTATTCTGGGAGAATCAGTTTCCATAACAACTGGCTTTATTTCTTTATTCATGTCCCCATGTTATCTTTTCTTGTCATTCTTACAACATTCCGTGCCATAACACAACAAATAACATGCAAAAGACAGCCAGATCTTGTTGGTAAGTCACAGCATCTTTTGCTTTGCAAGCAATTGTGTTATTCTTTGAAAAGATTTAAAAAAAGTGAATGACATTTGGCTAGGTAACACTTCACTAAATATCTGTGGAGACATTCATTTCTTCATTTAAAATCGATATTTTTAATTACTTACTCAGAAATGGCACAAGTAAACAGTACTCCATAAAGTTAGAGATTCATCAGGGACAAGAACTCAGTTTATGGTCTTTATGGCTCGGTGCTACATGGCAGAATCTATTATTCTAATGATTGTTGACCCCACACAGTTTTATCAATCTGTCGCTCATCTTAGTTGAGGTGGGGAGAAAAGAAACTAGCATGATGTTGGGTGATTTAAAAAGTCTTCCAATATTCCTTCAAAAATGTAATAATGTCGCCATTTTGCAAGAGAAAATTAACATGCAGAGAGAGTAAGCCACAGCAAAATGCCATTAAAGGGAGGAATCAGATTTTGAATTGAGTTGTTTAGGTTCCAAAGCCTGATTCCTTCTAGACCACCTTGCTGAAAACTGTATAATTCCCCTTCTCTTGTAACTAACACCCTCCCGGATGTATTGCTTTTTACCACTGGCTTAATTAAGCCATTAAAGTTTATGGTATTTTCACTTGTATTTGGAAACTATAATTTCTAAGGTGAAAATTGGTATACAAATATCTGTCATTGGTTTCTTTCCTTTGCCTCTCCTCAGTCAGGAGAGCTGATGAATCAACAGAGATCAAAGTTACCCATGTAAAGTGACCCCATTTAAGAATGTTACCACATAGGTGAAAAAGCTTAGGTTGTAGAAGTAAACACAAAGTGAAAAAAATATTCAGACATGAAATAGATTTCTGTTCAGATCATATGTATTTTGAAGATCAGTTTAACTTATTGGATCATAAACTTCTAAAGGAAATGTGGTGTCAAAGTTGATTCCTTAAGCACTACAAACATGCCTGCATCTTAATCTGTCTTGCTTAGCATATCACAAAAGAGGACCCATGGCCAGGCACAAAGAGATGGAAGACTTCACTCAAGATCATAGGCAATTCATGTACTTGTAAGGCATTTCTGGATCTGTTTAAGCCATTCATGTAGTTGGCAGTCAGCCATCCAGTCTGTTGGAAATGGGGAAATGAAATAAAAAGATTTGTTTTTGGTCCTCGAGGAGAATAGCCTCGCGTGTGAAGACAGGCATATGACCAACCACAGTATGACTTCATATATACCAATTGCAGTGGGTGCAAACATACTTAGGTACTCCCAGGGTTTCACCAAAGAAGTAATTCCTGTACATGAAAGACTCTTAGTACGTGTGTGTAGAACGAATGACTGTAAGAATGTGTGGTTTAATCCATATTTTGTGTTCACACTAATTTGCATATGTGTCCAGAATTATCTGAAAACCTGAAGATTATTGCTGAGTAGAGTGCCATGGTCACAGTAAGGCCCTGGGTGATAATGTCCAGAATTCCAGATAGAAGCATCATGTCATGTTTTGTTTTGTTTTGTTTTATTGTCTTTTGATTTTTTTAACCGAGGCTCTAGAATGATAAACTCTTTAACTGTGGCAAATCTCAAAAGTGGAGTTGTTTTCCTTGTTTTTTGTTTTTTGTTTTTTAAGTGGAAATTTTGGTACTACCTCTCCTCTTTCTTTTTCATCAGCCTGGTTATACTTTGTATCTTCAGCTGAATATCCTGCTGCAATGTTTTTACTACTTTCTCTGCTCATTGCTTAATTTTACTGCATTTTGTTATGAAATTTCCATTCCCCGATGGCAAAAATTACCTTGAATTCATGGGGAAAAGAAAAATTTTAATTTTTCTATTTTTTATTGCTTCAAGATTTATTTTATATTTAGGATACAGGCGATGATACTTATACTTTTGACAACACAATCCTTACATTTAAGACCAAACAGTAAAACAAACAAACAAACAAAAAAAGACCAAATAGTAGATGGTGACTAAGTGGCCAAATCAGTCCTGATGTTGATTGGCTTATTGTTGGTCACTTTCAGAGAGAAGTTGGAGATTGACTGAAGTATAAAAAGCAACAATAATAACAACTTCATACCTAGAGTTATTTCTCCTTATTTATATTTGCAGAATTTTGCAATGGAATGTAAAGAGTTCAGATGAAGCTGTAATAGGAAGGTACATGGATCCAAATTTCATCTTTGTTTTATTTCAAGCAACAGGATATTTAGAATGTAGATAGCTGTTGAAGAGCATGATTTAAAAAAGGAGTAGAAGAATCAGGAGGAATGGTAAAAAGTGCAAATGTTTCCCTGAGGAAGAGAAGCCTAGAAGATGCCTAGTCCACTTAAACAAAGGAGAGCTATGGAGAGTATGCAGGTCAATTGCCCTATGTGTCTGCTGAAAACATATTCTGTTTGGCCTATAGCCTCATTGATATAAAAGTGATTATAATAGCAAACAGGCTACCAAGAGAGATATTTGAATCATTATCTTAAAACTTCTTAAAGTAAGATGGAAGTTGTGGTCAGCTCAGGACCCCATATTTTAATCACAAAAAGACAGTTTTCTTTCTTTTTTTATTATTGAAGTATAGTTGGCCTACAGTTACAGTAGTTTCAAATGTACAATATAATGATTAGACAAATATATGTGATGCTATGCTCACCACAAGTGTAGCTCCCATCTGTCACCATACAAGACTTATAATGCCACTGACTGTATTCCCTACGCTGGACCTTTTATCCCCATGACTTATTCATTCCATAACTGGAAACCTCTATCTCCCACTCCCCTTCACCCATTTTGCTCCTTTCCCCTCTGGCAACCATCAGTTTATTTTCTGTATTTATGGGTCTGTTTCTGCTTTTTGTTTGTTTATTCATTTTTTGGCTTTTTAGAGTCCACATATAAGTAAAATCATACGGTGTGTGTCTTTCTCTGTCCGACTCATTTCACTTAGTATAATACCCTGTAGTCCCATCCATGTTGTTGCAAATGCTAAGATCTCATTCTTTCTTATGGCTCAGTAATATTCTATTTTATGTATATGTACACACACACACACACGCACACACACACACCTTCTGTATCCATTCATCTATTGATGGATACTTGGGTTGCTTCCATATCTTGTCTTTTGTAAATAATGCTGCATTAAACATATGGGTGCATATATTTTTCAGATTAGTATTTTTATTTTCTTTGCGTAATACTCAGTAGTGGAATTGATCACATGGTCTTTCTATTTTTAATTTTTTGACAAACTTCCATACTGGTGCCCACAGTGGTTGCACTTACTTGCATTCCCACCCGCAGTACATGAGGGTTCCTTTCCTTCCACATCTCACCAACACTTGTTATTTATCTTTTTTATTCTAGCCATTCTGACAGGCCTACAGTGATAGCTCTTTGTGTTTTTGATTTGCATTTCCCTGAGATTAGTGATGCTGGACATCTTTTCATATGTCTCTTGGCCATCTGTATGTCTTCTTTAGAAAACTGTCTATTCAGGTTCTCTGCCCATATTTAATTGGATTATTAGGTTTCTGGCATTGAGTTATATGAATTCTTTATATTTTCTGGATATTAACCTCTTATTGGATATATCTTTTGCAAATATCTTCTCCCACCCCATAGGTTGCTTTTTTGTTTTGTCGATGGTTTTCTTTGTTATACAAAAACTTTTTATTTTGGTGTACTCCCAATAGTTTATTTTTGCTTTTCTTTCCTTCGCAAAGAAGACAAAAAGAAAAAAAAAAAAAGAAGAAGAAGACATATCTAGGAAAATGCTGCTAAGGCTGATGTCAAATTACTGCCTATGTTTTCGTCCAGGAATTTTATGGTTTCAGGTCTCACATTTAGATCTTCAGTCCATTTGAGTTTATTTTTGTGTGTGGTGTAAGAAAGTGGTCCAGTTTCATTCTTTTGCAGGTAGCTGCACAGTTTTCCCAGCACCACTTATTGAGGAGACTGTCTTTTCCCCACTGTGTATTCTTGCCTCTGTGGTCGTTGATTAATTAACCATAAAGTTGTGGGATTATTTCTGGGCTCTCTAATCTGTTCCATTGTTCTTGTGTCTATTTTTATTCCAGGACCTCATTGTTTTGGTTCCTACAGCTTTGTAGTATAAAACGGTGCTTTCCTTTGAATATTGAGATTTCTAGGTATGGAGTTACCTTTTTTTCCTCTGTAGCAGAGATCCTAAAAGAAGTCAGAAAGTGCTGCCACATTTGCCCTTGTGTCCTCAAGTCTCAGAAATGCCAGAAATCTCCCTTGAGTTGAGAAAATTCTGGCAAGCAGCTTGAATATTACTAGTATATTCCCATCTACTACTTTCATCTGTTATTAATCAATATGTGCCTGAGTACCTTGATGCCTCTTCCGGTCGTATATTTCTGCAATGCTATAATAAAGAAGCATCTATTGTTTCTCCATTTGAGATAGAAAACTAATGTGCTTTTTAAAGAAATTGTTTCCATGTGTGGTAGATAGAATAATAACAACATGAGAGACAATAAGGATATATGAGGATAAAGAGAAAATAAGGAAAAAATGAATTACAAGGTAAGTATTTGAAACAGAACTCTGAAAATAAAGAGTAGTCCAGAATTGCCTACAAAAGAAAAAAAAAATGGCTTTTTAGGAGATACATTCTGAATAACCTGCCATGAAAATGTTTTGTATGTTCTACATAGATGGTATTAGAAAAAATGGGCAAAGGTATGCTATAAATGTGTCAAGAAGTTATCACTGTATGGGTAGATTAAATCATGGTACAAAAATAACAGTTCTTCCTTCGAGATCCCTAAACTCTCAATTCCTGAATGAGTTCAGGAATAGGGTGATCTCTGGGCGGAGAGTAGAGGCCTGTGCACAGATAAGGATGTAACAATCTGGATTGAAGAATTTTGTTCCATATTACTTCAAAATGTGGTCCCAGAAGAAGGTCATGTACTTTAGGAGTATACCCTGATCCCAGGGTATACCTCAGTAATAGCTTGATGTGTATCATGGGAGTCAGCAGTCATAGGGAAATAGAAAGAGTTTGAAATTTTTTTCAAGAAAGCATAGGTTCATTTTGTGACATACTGAATTTTAATATGGCAGTGACAAATAAATAAAATAAAATAAATGACCAATTAGGAGACAATAAATTGTGTGTGTGTGTGTGTATGTGTGTTTAGACGGAGGGAAAAAGGAAAGAAAGTATAGGATGAGAATAATAGAAAGAGACAGGAAAAAAAAAAACAAATTGAAACTGTGGTCATTTGAATATTTTTATGATTAACTTTTATATGAAATTTATTCCTTTGTCCTTTATGTAATGGTAAATGTAAGAGGAAAAGTAACTATTCAAAAATGATGATTAAATCATAGCTGTTTGATATGACACATTAAATGAGAGAATTAAAAATGAGTCTACTTTTCCAGGAATAAAACCTTGAATACTTGAATTTATATTGGGCTTCGTATATTTAATGCTCTTTTCATTTATCTCCAGAGCAACCCCACAGGATAAGATCCTTAGCACAGGACCTGACACACTGTCTAAGCATTGATACTTCAGATGGCAGCAATGTTGGTGCTGGGGAAGCCAGACTGGGAAGGGTCTCAATTAAAGAGCTAAAAAAGTGGTATTTTATAGACCCATAGGAGTCACTGAAGCCTATTAAATTAATATCATCAACAAGAAACCTAAATGTAGCTTGTGGAGAAAAGCCAAGGGTAAGATTATTCAGGGATGGGGAATGAGACACTTACCTCTTGAAGCTGAGACTGGAAACTATTCACTCCTAGCAGGAATGCAGGTTTCATGGCTAGAACCTGCAGAGTGAAAAGGGGAGATTGATTAAAGGTGTTGCTTCCCACCCCAGCCATCCACAATTTATCATTTCTAGCTACTGTGATTATTTTGCATTCAGCACAAAGATGGCAATCTGGCAGGTTTGTGAGCCTTGAGACTCCAACAGATTGAGGCTGAATTCTTACTTGTTTGTCAAGGCAACAGAGCATGCTCCCATCAGTCAATATGCCTTTTCTTGCCTTGTCGAAACCATTTCTACTCTATGCCAGTGTCAGTTGCATTTTGCAGATATGGTTCCAAACTACCGCAACAAAAGTTACTATTTAATTTGAAGTTGTTTTGGCAGGTGAGCTCTACTGTTGTAAATTGTGATTCTAAATCAATAATTTACAGGGGAACAAGCCCTTGTTGAAATGTGAACGCTATTTAACTTCTATAAAACATAAAAAGCTCTTCCGTCAGTCATTTAATTAGTCTAATGACATTATTTCTTGAGTACCTACTAGACACTGAAACCATAACTAGCGCTTGCAGGAAATATAGAAGAAAAATACTGGTTCATCCCTCCAAGAAATTTCTCCATTTCAGAAAGCAGGATGTATCCCAGTAATTAAGACATTTTCAACATTAACTGATTTTTATAAGACAAGACAGTGAATACAGAATACCAGAATGTGGTTCATCCTTGAATAAAAATACAACTTGGTGAGTTAAGGCCAAGAACATTGTATGATGACAAGGGTTTCAGTACTAAGTTTCCATGTTATTTGACATAACTTACGGGTTTTCCAAATACTAAGATTGAATGAGTCTGAATAAATACAATTGAATAAAATGGTATATATTCCAAGTAGTTACTTTCTTTAAGCACCTAAAATTTTCTTTGGATCAGGAAGCATGTGTTTGCCAGGATGCTTAGTTGAATACACTAGTTGGCATAGTGAGAAGGCAGACGTATGAAAGTTCCCAGCAAAATCAAGATTCTCCTACTTGGCGGTGCAATAGTGAAGATGTGATAGTTTTCTACCGTGTTTCACATCCCTCCAGAATGCTGACCACTGCGGTTGTTGAGGAGAACATAGGTAGAGTAGATAACAGAGCACCATGTATAGGTTGCTCCCGTCAGCTTCCATTGTCCTATGATAAAGCTCAGAGTTAGGGTTCTAGAAAGCAGTCCATATCTGGCATGAGTATTTCTCTAATGAAGCTTTAGTGTTGGGGAGGCATAAAGACAAGAGAAATAAAAGAAGAAAAGAGGAAATGGCTGTGTTGTGGCCCCTCTCAGAGTTTTGACTAATAATCTTGATGTTTTGGAATGAATCCTTCCAGTGTGGTAGATGTTCCTCAGGCCTATTCACCATTCTTATTTGTTTTCCAAAGGCACCTTTCTAACTCTTGTTCACTTAGATCTTTTTTTCCCTATCTTTCCTACTTTTCAATACAACTCTTCCTTCTTCATTTTTATTCAGTCATTCCCTTTGATGGAAAGACAGTGAGTTTTTCAATTTTTTGAGTCTTTTCTGAAGTCAGGATCTAAAATGGATGTTTACTGGGAGCAGGTTATCTCAGTTGTCAACTGGAACCAACAGATGGGTACTGTTGGCTGAGAGGGAGTGAATATCTGGGATACCCCCCCCACCCAGCAAACTGGTCTTACTTAGCCCTCCAGGGCTTGGATAATATTTAACTGTAATATGATTAGAAAAGACCTGATTTAAGAATTCTTTTTTTTATTTTTTTTTATTATTATGTTAATCACCATACATTACATCATTAGTTTTTGATATAGTGTTCCATGATTCATTGTTTGTACATAACGCCCAGTGCTCCACACAGAACGTGCCCTCTTTAATACCCATCACCAGGCTAACCCATCATCCCACCCCCCTCCCCTTTAGAACCCTCAGTTTGTTTTTCAGAGTCCATCGTCTCTCATGGTTCGTCTCCCCCTCCGATTTCCCCCCCTTCATTCTTCCCCTCCTGCTATCTTCTTTTTTTTTTTCTTAACATATATTGCATTATTTGTTTCAGAGGTACAGATCTGTGATTCAACAGTCTTGCACAATTCATAGCGCTCACCATAGCACATACCCTCCCCAATGTCTATCACCCAGCCACCCCATGCCTCCCACCCCCCCACTCCAGCAACCCTCAGTTTCTTTCCTGAGATTAAGAATTCCTCATATCAGTGAGGTCATATGATACATGTCTTACTCTGTTTGACTTATTTCGCTCAGCATAACACCCTCCAGTTCCATCCACGTCATTGCAAATGGCAAGCTCTCATTCCTTTTGATGGCTGCATAATATTCCATTGTATATATATAGCACATCTTCTTTATCCATTCATCTGTCCGTGGACATCTTGGCTCTTTCCACAGTTTGGCTGTTGTGGACATTGCTGCTATAAACATTCTTCACTGAAGTTGGGGCCATGAGAGGGTGGTATGTATTGGAATGCTATCAAAATTCTAACACTTTGTCTTCAGTATTTTCTTTTTGATGCTATGTGATAGGTGATATGTTTAATAATAATGTCTTACATTAATATACATATTTCCATTTAGAAAATACAATCAGATATATAATCTGTTTCTTTTCATTCCTATCATACTCCTGTATGATAGGTAAGGTAAGCATTATTATCCTTATATTTTAATACAGGGTACTAGCTTGAGAGAAATTAAGTGGCTAGGTGGGTTGTATTCAGAATCATATTCAACTGTTATTCACTGAGCATATGATATGTACTAGGAAATTTGCTACATGCTGGCACCTGTATTAGCTTCCTGTTATTGTTCATAACAATCCAGTGGAATTGACAGCATTATTTGCATTGAGCTGATAAGTTTGAGAGCATGTAAGCCACTGTTGAGAATCACACAGCTTTTAAGGAATAGAGCTGAGATTTAAGCTCAGGTAGAGTGAATCCAAGTCCACTACACTTTATACTTATGATGTTAAATGCAACACTCTAAGCTGTCACTGTGGTATAGTATTTGGGTCACGCTACCAGTCTTTCAAATTATGTCCTATTCATCCTGATTTCCTTTTAGATCCATGTCCTAAAATTATTTTCTCATCATGCCAGCCAGGCAGCAGGAAGCACAGACATGGGCATGATAATTGTGTTAAGAACAAAAGCTAGCACTTACTGGACATCTACCAGGTGTACTATGCTAAATTCTTTATATGCTTCAATAGTCTGCCTGCATTTTTGATGTGTGATTGCCAACAGCTTTCAAGCCCCACCACTCCCCTCTACCCTCTGTCTCACATCTTGACAAGCTATTACGAAAGCCTTAGGTGCTCCCTCCTTTGACACCAGCAGGATATTCAAACCCTGCAAGGCTGAGCCTGTGCAAGGGAAGGGAACCCTCACCTCAGCCACACTCCCTAATGCTCAGAAAACCCTCTGTTCTCTGAAGCCATTTTTGAACCAGCTTAGGAGCCTGTTCTCTTCTCTCCAGAATGCCACATTATGTGAGGAGTAAACCCTTTCATACTTCCTTGCTGTGTGTGTGGCATCATCTGTCTTACCATCCAAACCAGATTTAGAGTGGGAAGTCCATCCTACTTGTTGGAGCTCCCAACACATACATCACCATTAATCCTGTAACGATATAGTTGTTAGTTACATTTTACAGATGAGGAACTCAGAACACAAATGAAGATCTCGTGTGTGTGTGTGTGTATAGGGTGATAGAAATTGGCTAGGTGGCTAAAGGAAGAAATTGGAAAATAATTTATTTTTATAAGCTGAATAAAATCCTTATTAGCATTCTCTGAGGAATGTTGACTTGAAAGATTAAAATACCAGATGACTAATAGTTCAGTTAGATGATGTTTTGTAAAGGTTTACAAGATCATTGGTAGGTGTTCCAGAGACAGGTATAATGAAAACTGATATTCCACAAGTTCCTGCATGTTCATAATCAAATTGTGTCCTTCAACTATATAAAAGCTCACCCTCAAAACAGGTTTTAGGTATGTTCCCTAAAGAAGTAGGCTGGAAAATAAAATACTGGCTGAATTTTCTCTCCTTATTGATTTATAGAAAGCTTAATTAAAATGTGTTAGCTCCTAGAATCCCTCATTAGTTTCAGTGAAACTAGAATGGGGTTTCCAGAGGCTTTCTTCTCATCTTTTCTGCCCTTCCCTAAACCCAGAACTTTATCAGAACGCTGTACTAAGCTCCTGTTGTCACTAGTAACTCTGATCCCATTATTTATCTGGAAGAAGCATGCATAGACAGTGAGAGCTCCTGGCCTAAGAAGAGACATGAGTTCCACTTTCTGCCAAGATGAGGACATCCTCTGAGTTTTTTGGCCTCACCAAGTCAGAGGATTCTGCCATGGAGAGCATGGAGGACATCATTTGTAAGAGATATAGAACTCAAGCCAGAGTTCATGAAATGCTTCCAATTCTTCCACTAAAAATGAGTCCACAGGTATTTTGTTAAAAGATCATGAAACCCCTTTCTAGTGTAACTTATTCTATTTTTTACTATTTGCAATTGGTACTCTTAAAACAAAGCTTCATTTTCTAGACACCAATTCTATTTCAAAGTATTAAATTCCTTTAGCGATGCACATTTCTTTGTTTTCTACAGTCGTAGATGTTTTTTCTTGACCTTAACTATAGACAACTTATCTCCTCCAGTTTTTGCACTTGTCTGCACATTTTTTATTCTACAAACTCATTTCCAATCTATCTTATTTTCACATACTCTTAACACGAAGGAATCGGTCTTGGGCATTGGCCCTTTGTCATGAAAAGAAGCTCTTTATAGGAGATTGTTATGATTTAAGGGAACTCAAAAAACAGGCTGGAGTGGTATACAGTGGATGTTTGACTATTGCTGATAACAGAAGATGGAAGCCAAATAGGGCCACAAAAGCTTCCAAGAAATTTGAAAATAATAGCTTCAGCTTCAAATGAAATGAAAATGGAGATGCCTGTTGAAAGCTACATTATGCCATTAAATAATGCAGAGAAAGCCAGTGCACTGTACTTGGGGTTGCCTACCTGTATTGTCTGCTGTGTTATTCAAGATCTCCATGCACTCCCTGTAGGAAAACAAGCATCGTGACCTGCCTGTATGTGCAGTAAACTAAAGAGGACATTATGTAGGAAAAGGAATGCAGAGGAAGTGAAAGAAAGAGCATGGTCTTCCAACAATCTGAGAACTTACTCTTGGAGATCCCTGGAGATTTTAGAGAATCATAACTGATGCTCTGCTAGTGATTTGAGAAAGTTCCTTAAAAAGACCACAGGGCATTGACTTGAGAACAGTCCTAGGTCTTTCTATTATAGCATTTTATGTTTTGTTTTTTTTTCTTTTGATCAAATACCAGTCAGGTAATTTCCAACAATCTACTCTCCAGCTCATTTTGTGTGTGTGTCTGTGGGGGGGGCTGTGTCCATTTTCAGAGTTGAAATCAGGGTATTTGGGTTCATATTTTACCTCTTTAGTCTTTGAATAGTTAGGCAAGTCATTTAAAATTCCTCTGAACCACAATTTTCTCATCTTTAAAATGGGTGTATTATACTCTATCTTATAAAAGTGCTATAAAAATTGAGTGAGATAATGCTTAGAGACTGTGATCTCTACACAAATTTTAATTATTATTTTTACTCCCCCCCCAACCTCAGTGTAGACTATTAGAAATGGAATCAACTTTCTATAACTTGAGTGGTCATTTTATTGCGTGTGTGTTTTTATTTCATTTGCTGGTAAGGGTGTCGGAAATGATGGTGTTTGGAAGTATGCTTCTTATGAAATTCAACTTCGCAACTAATTTTTCCCTTTTTCACTTCATTTTCTGAGCTATGTTATATTGTGGACTAGAATGGATCCCAGAGACAAATGCCGTGGACCAGGAAAAAACAAAACAAACAAACAAACAAAAAAACACAAATAAATCCTAGGCTGCATGCTTTAATGTAAACCAGAGGGCACCTTCTTTATAATGTGCCAGGATTAATTAAAGCAAAATATAATGAGCTGGGAAAGACTTCATACCCTGTGGACATAAACACTAAACATCTAACCCCAAGCTATTAGTATTTAGAATTCCCTCATGATTTCAAAATTATTATCGAAAATCTGTGAAATTTCAAATGTGCCATAGAGGTATATAGCTTTACAAAATAAGGGCAAAGGGACTTGATTGGATAAAAGAGTTCTCATAACACAATAAAAACTGAAACACCTCACAAATTAATTTTTTGACATTTGGAATCAAAGTGTTATAGATTCAAATCAGCTTTGCTTTGAGGGAACCAAGCATCCAAACCAAAATAATAAATTAATTGATCAATTAATTAAACTCAAGGAAGTGAGTTGGTATAAATTCATGGAGTGTGCTAGAGGGAGGGTCAAAAACACACTTCCTAAGTGTTAGATAAATGTGCCTTTTTCCAGGTGAAGTTTACAAAACAACACTCCCAGGCCTCATTCCTTTATCTAATTTTGTCTCAGGATTTTAGGTACACAAGGTATTCTTATCACCCTTTGGATGAAGCAACAATGTCTAGAGATGTAAAGTGGATTTTCCAAGGAGACATAGCTACCAAGTTCTAGAACTAAGTTCTGGAATTCAAGTTTTCCTACTCTGAGTAAAGTAATTCCTCTCCACATTGGCAGATTTTTAAATAACAGAGACACAGCTGCTTTTATTGACAAATTTCGGTAATAGCCTTTTCAGAAAAATAGGGACACAGCCTCTTGGGAGATTCAGGTTAATTTACCCCAGGGGATAATGAGACATTTGCCGGTTGACCGGCATCTGTGACCTGACCAGGAATAAATGCAGCTCTCTCAAAGTGAAGGACTTGCCTGGTGATTTGGCATCCATGAAATCCACCATGGAGTGTCAGGCCCTGCTTTCACAATGCCTGTGACTCAAGTCCTGGTGGATGACCTGCTATAACAACCAACTTTCCCTGGGTAAACCAGAGGCATTTTCATGGGTTTATAATCTTTACATAATCTCATTCAGAAGAAACATCAGAGACATAATTTTAGTACTCTTATTTCCATTGTTAAACATATTATAAATGCAATAAATGTTTTAGATAAAAACATTTTTATAAACAACTTCTGTGCAACTATGCTTTTTGCTGCACCTCACTTGATCCCAGACAAGTATGTAGATGGGGATTTATGTTAGATTTTTTCTCTATTAAAATGCATTAGATTTATTTTTCTAATACCCTATTTTGAGAAACCAAGTGGAACATTCTGAAAGTGAACTGGTTTCTTTATTGAAACAGAAAAAAATGAGTTATTACTAAAAATCCTATCATAAAGGAATGTGAAAATCAACAAGAAAAATGACATATAAAATGTTAGGAAAAAAAAAAGGATGTGTGATCTTTAATTAACTGATTGATCAGGCAAGTAGACATAGCCCTGTCCCACATTTGAATCCAGTAATAGATTTCTAGATCCAATTTTAGAAGTTCTAAGTTGTTATCTTCTCCTTTGCTCCTTTTCTTCTTTCAGAGTTTGTACTGACCTTCTAGAGAAAGCTGTGGATGATTAAGACCAACTGCCCAGCTTTGGGTAAAAATCCACCCTTTGCATTTTTTCTCAAGAGGCTGTTAACACAGGGTATAGGAACCTAAGGACAATAACCACTCATGGTGTAGGCTTTACAGTGCCCTAAGTCTCTATCTTCTATAAGGAAGAATTTAGTGAGGGATTAGTAGTAGTAGTAGTAGTAGTAGTAGTAGTAGTAGTAGTAGTAGTAATTCCAACATCCTGAGCCAGTTTTGTGTGCTGGTTAGGAAGCATTACACAACTAGAAGCTGATGAAATCAACGTAAAGGTAGATAAGGCAGATGGGGTAGGTGGCATGACAGTGTAGTAGAAGGACAAGCTTTGGGGCTTGAATGAACTATCACCTGGTGACTGTCCCCCTTTCTTGCTGAATAATCTTGAGCACATGTTGCTTAACCTGTCAGAGGCTTAGTCTCCTTCTCTATAAATAGGGCCAATATGTTATTTTTCTGAGTAATTATTATGGCTAAGTGGTACTTGACTTATTCATTCAGTACCTATTCAGTATTACTATTCATGAGTCTGGGACTTGGTCTTCCTTATAAAACTGTAACATTGCAAATCAACTCCACCAGTGACCACAGGAGAGGAAAACACCCATCCATCACTCTTTTGGAATGCAAAAGGACGACTGACAACCTCCTTGAAGTATGAACTTTTAGAGTAAATTGTTCAAATCAAAGTGATGGATACCCTGACATGGGCGTAATTTTCTTTTTTTGCATGAAAACAACAACACCCAGTTTTAATTTTTTTCAAACTGCCATCCTAAAAGCCATAAATTCCATGCCAGGATAAGCCATGATCAAGAATTAGTTCACTCTTGATGTAGGTACCTGCGGCACATTGAGGCAAGTGCCACAATGTCGAGTTTCAAAAACAAAACCCTCATATCCTAGGAAACATAATCCCAAACCGAAAGCTCCTTTTTCCACTTGAAAATCACCTGGACAAACCCTCTCTAATGGAGGTCGGACCCCAGCCTCCTGAGAAGGAGCAGACCTGCTTTCTATCCTCCCTACTCCTCCCTCCTCCTCCCTCTCCCCCTCCTCACGCCCTCCTCCCCTCCCCCTCCTCCCTCTCCCCCTTCTCCCCTCCCTACTCCTCCCTTACTCCCCCCTCCCTCTCTCCATCACTCAGGTACCTCACTGAAACATCCTGCCACTTGGAATTCAGAGCAAAAGTGGTAGCTGCGTAGAGGGCAATAAACATAAATGATACCTGTGGGTAATAGGTTTGAAATTGCTGTGTTCCTTGGTAACTGGATGTAATTACAAGTACCCTGGATTCCACGGGGCTACGGTGCAATTATCACTCTCATTTCCAGAATAAAAGGGAAGGATTACAACAGTATTGCCACAATTCAGTAATGTGAGGAAAGGGATCTTACCAGAAAGATATCAATAGTTCTGCATATTTTTCTCCGTGCTCATTTCACATTGGGAGCCTGTGTATTTGTAAGTCGAAAAGCACCCAAATCTATGTGATGAAACCTGTATAAGTTATAATACGCCACCATTATAGTAAGGCTACTGCAGGGGTCCTTAGTAAGTTAAAAAAAAAAGGGGGGGTGGGAAAGTAATGAGTGATATGACTACACTGTAGGCAGTGGGCAGGGTACCATATATTTTGGAAGTAATTAAAGACGATTGAGTGCTACTTCCCAGCCTAATGAGTGATTCTGCCACAGCCTCGCAGCAGGGAGGCCCCTGTGTGTTACTGCACATTTCCACAGTATTAACTGGGGTAATGAGTGTTATTGCTGTGGTGTAACAGCAGGGTGCACTGCTCACTGTTTCCCCGAGAGCTCTGTCATAATTACGAGGCAAAATGTGATTGCTGTTTTGCTAGACACCACTCATGATCTATTCCTATATTGTTCCATAGTAATTACCAAATGACATAGTGCTATTTACCAGGGTGTTCACTTTGGACAAACAAGGGAGATGTTATTTATTTATTTATTTTTTGCCATTGTGGCTTAACAACGTTGTTTCTAATTCGGTTATCATATATATAATTGTGAAATTGTTACTGCCTTGTAATCACTGATTCGTACACTACGTTTGCCCTCGCTTCTCCTGGGCCCTGGGAATGGAGTTTCCATTGCAGCCATGGTGTTGTTCAAGCTTCCCAGGGCTGGCAGGAGGGAGGGTCTGGCAGAAAGGAGAAGGTAGGCTTGTCACGAGTGGTTGTCCTTTACACTTTTAACAGTTAGATTTTGAATATTCTGCGTCCACATTCCCTTCTTAGATTCTAATAATAGTACCAGTATATCAATCAAGAGAACATATAGTCAGCAGAACAAAGACTCAAATCAGTCAATATTTTGATTTAACTTCCCATGATGTAGGTACAGAGAACTGTCTTTGCTTAGAGTATTTTGACTTACTGTCTGCATCATTGACTAAAATATTCTGTGCATTCTTATGTTTTCCCTTTGGAATCTGTCACTGTCTCCCCCCCTTAATTGTCATTTGAAAAATGTGACCATGTGTAAGACTAGGAAAAGTGCTCTGGGTAGCAGGGTCGAGTATGCAATTCTGGTCAGGCTCTACCCTTAGAGAGATCTCACCTGACCGTCAGGAAGTGATGGTAAAGGATATATGCCTTAGTGTTGGACTGCCTGAGGCCAAGTCTCAACTTTACCTCAGATAAATGTCATAATGTGTCTGAGCCTGTTTCCTTATTTGTGAAAGGGGTGAAATAATAGTACCCGCTCATAGGTTTATTACAAGATTTAATGAAAGAATTGTGTCAGATGTTTCTCAAATGCCTGTACAGAGTACATTGTTATTAAATGTTAGTTAAGATTATTTAACTTGTTGAATCTTAGGAAATAGGAAGGAGTTATTGTTTGCTCCCTAAGTTTCCTTCTATCTCCCCGAAACTTGGATTCCGTGATATTTTGTATTTGTGGCTATGTCAAAAGAACACAGAGAATAGACACACATGCACAATTAGGCCTACTTTATGACTTGAAATGTCTTGTTTAGTCAGTTTTCCAGTTTACACATGGGACTATCAATAAATCTGAATTCTAGCTAGTAGAAATAAGAGAAGAAAGACCCTTAGACTGATTAAATAGGAAGAAAAATCCACCTACCATTACCACTGGTATTTACAGCACTCCATGTGGAATTAAACTCAGAAGTATCAGTCAGAAGAGAGAAAGCTGTTATGAGGTAAAATCAGTGGGCTTTATGGACTGCTCCTCTTCAGAGTCTCTGTGAGAAGTGTTGAGATTTTAGGTCTTCTCTCAAGAAAGGACTTAAAGGTGAACGACGCCCACCTATCCATTTTCACCCATGTGCTATTTAGTTTCCCTGTAAATTTCTTCAACTTGAAATTACTTTACACCATCAGAGATTCCGGGGCTAAAAGAATTTCTCCTGTTGCGACATAACACAGAGAGACTTGGAAGTGAATCTCTCAATAGATAGGCTAGAACTGTAGTCAGTTCCTGGGAATACACCGCTGTAGTTAGTGTTGTGGGAAGTGAGAATAGGAGAGTGAGCCTTCTGAGTTAGTGCTTCTGTGCAATGCTAGACATTAGGCATTTGATGAAAACTTCACCCTTCCATTGAACTAGAAGGCTTAAAGAATGACTCTCATTGTCCTACCATTAGTGCCAAAGCTCCCTAAACATGGAAGCCCATGCTGACAGCAAATAGCATGAGAACTGAATGTCATGGAATCTACCAAAGATAGAAATTGGGTAGATCAGAAAGTTAGTAAGACCCAGACATTTTATCCTCAAGCCATGAATCCATGGGTTTCAGCAACCCGTACTGTATAGTAGCACAGTGGGACATATATAATAGCATGCATATTAATTGGTCAGTAAATCCGATGCATTTATCATTCTAGCTCATGGATTCTTAGAGGGTGAGTTAACGCTTTTATCGTCTTCATTAGATTCTGGGCAGTGAAGTCAATGGAACAGATCAAGATGTTAATTGCAGACCAGGTTTCTTAGACACCAAGATGCCAGGCTTGGTTGCTGTTCTTCCACATGTCTTATTTCTGGTGCTCCGTGGCACCTGGGGCCCTGCACATCGATTCCCTGCTAATGCTGTGTCCTCCATCATTTCACCTCTGCATGTCTGTCCATCTTTGTGAGCATAATTTTTTATTCATCAGCGAAACGTTTGGGCCTTTGAAATTGAAATGGATTTCAGTCTTCTTTATATATTAATTATTGATAAATGGAGCCTGGGAGACAAGGAAGAAGCCTGGCATGATTATAGACAGATAGTTTTTAATTTTATGTCTCTTGCAGTGACAGAGAAATTTAGTTTAATAGGAGTAATTTTTCAAAGGAGATGCAATCATGAGGGAGGGAGTGTAGAAAATGGGCTAAGCATGCTAAAAAAGAAAGAACTTGTAGGACACATAGCTCGCTTCCATACCGAAAAATTTCCTAAAAGGCCTCTGTCAAGAAGTACAGGTGGAAATCTTCTGAAAATTGTTTTTGTACTTTCGCAGGTATGAACGGCAACCCTAAGACCAGATCTATTATTTTCAAAAAGGCCCACATTCCCAACTAAGACAATTTTGTGTCTTTTACATTATTTCAGACTCTCCTGAATTATACAAAGCCTCAAACAGCCTTAATTATATAGTGTCCCAAACATCATGTAAAAAGGCCACGAGGTGTAGTAGGAAAGGTGTCAGGCACATAGACTGCTGAGTTCCGGCCTAGCTGCACCATTATTAGCTTGCCTTCAGAGTTATGTCATCACATAACCGTCTAGAGTCTCAGTGTCTCCATATGGTAAATGGTGACGCCCTTCCTTCCACCAGGCCCATCAGTAGTTTCTGAGGATCAAATGAAGAAATCACCATGAATAGTTTCCGAGGCTTTTTTTAGCTCAAAAAATCTAAGATTTTCTGATACAAGAGAAGGAATTCTTTCTTTGGGTCCATCAGTTACTAATTACTCCAAGCAAGCGTAGTTAGTTTTTATTTTCCACGTATATGACGAATCCACTTCAACAGAACAAAAATACTTGAGCCCTAGGATGCTTTTCCAGAGTCCATCCTAGGATCTGGAGATTTAAAAAGAAAAAAGAAAAGAAAGAAAGAGAAAGAAACCGAGGCTGCACCCCTCAGGATACCTCATTTCTCAGATCTCATTTCTTGTTGAAGTATCTGCGTTTTCTATGGGCTTCTATAAACTTGATAGGATCTCTCTGCCTCACTGCCAGTTTAGCACGCTGAGCCCTCCACTGTGGTATTTAGAAGAGTCAACAAGGAAGGGAAAAGCAGGGTGGCTTAGGATGGCTAATGTAGGAAGAAGGAAGGCGAGAGAGAGAGAGAGAGAGAGAGAGAGAGAGAAAGATTTGCTTTTGTTTAGAAGTGTGAGAACAGCCTTGGGCGGAGGCTCATCCTCTAGTCTGCACACTTCAGACTTGGCAGTCCAACTGATAGGGGGGAACAAAGTTACCCGACACCTCCCTGCCATGGCGATTTTAGTGATCATCACTTAACTGGCGCTCCATATTAATCTTCCTAACACCTTTTCATTATGTTCTTACCCTGCTCAAAAGCCTTCTATGGCTCTCACTGGCACGGCACTAAATCCATCTTTCTGCCCTTCTTTTTCCCTTCCAGTCTCTTTCCCTCTTTGGTTCATTTTATGTTTGGTTGTGTCTCCTATCAGCTCAATAATATTACTGGCTCCGGTAGAATGTGAAGCTTGTCTTACACAGTTATCCCCCTGTAATGTAGATACAGGAGGAAATCCCTCAGTGTTTCTGGATTGATTGTAACCCTGTAATGTAGCACTTGCTTTTGCAGTTCTCTATTCTCTTCTGTTTTTGTGAGTGTAACTGTTTTCATAATGGGTTATAATTGTTTTTAAATAATAATGTTGTCTTGAACTTCTTATAC